AGGGGGGGGGGGGGACTCTTTCCCCGGGGATAAAGTGGCAGGGGCTTGAAGCTGACCAGTCACCTCCAGCTAGTTTCGAGGTCACAGAGATGTTGATCTAAACATCCACTCACCATATGCCTTCATGTCATAGTGCTTAATTAGTTAAGCACAAGGACAACTGTACCTTTTTTGCCTATACAACCTTACAAATGCATAATTTTATTTAATTCTATAATTTGTTAAACAGTGGCAATGCAGCTTAAGGATGTATAGGATATACCTAAAACAGTACAAAATGAATGAAATTTGTACAGATTGTTCTTTCTTTTATTCTGAAATCCATAAAAAATATGGACTTATTTCAATAACTTGTTAAAAAATTATTGCACTTTCAATTTTCACTAAATTTACATGTGAGATCATATGGAAGTTTTTCACCTCATTCATTATACTAGATAAAAAATATGTAAGAATTGGTACCATGAGTTTCAAAATATTTACACTTATAACTTAGGCCTTTAAGGAATGATTTTGCAGAATTACATTTACATTCAATGCACCATTCAGAAGAAATTAGTAATAATGTATTGAAACTTCAACTTTTACTTCATTTGGAAACTTCGTTCTAGATGTGTGGCAACACTGGAAACAGTAACCAAGTAGCACAGCAGAAAATATAACAAATTTCTGTAAAATGTGCAGTCATTTTTCTGTCGAGCTGGTCTTTTCTCATGCGTACTTTTAGTCACTGTTCTTCCTTTCCAACAATAAGTTGCTTTTGGCATCATGATGCTTGAGAAACACAATGTAACCAAGAAATGTTGTTCCAGTTAATCCACATCTGTACAGTGCGTCAACTAAAGCTTCATTTGTGGCATTGTCACTGAACTGCGCAAGACAGCCAACTTATGGAAAACTGTAGTTTTGTTAAGATTAATTCTTCTCAGAGAAGATCTCATTAATCATAATGAATGAAACTGAAGTAATATTAAAAAAAAATAAATAACCACTTTATTTATATTAAAATGTGATTTACTACTTTTGATAAGAATGATTTAAATCCAGCTATTTTTTTTGTCAGGTTCAATTAAATCCTCAAAATTTGTATCATAATAAGAGACATAAATGGTAAATCTAGCCAAAATTGTGATAAAATAAATACAAATACTCCTACATTAAGATTTAGAACTCTTGTCACTTACATCTCTTCTGACTTTTTAAGACATACAGAGTGCCGATATTCATTAATTGGAATTTAGTCCGCTTCTCTCTGATTTTTTCACCTAGACATCTTTAATTCTTATTCACTCACAAACTGACATGCATGCTAATGGACACACACGCGCTAGCACAACACAAGGGGCCGTGCAATCTGTGTTTGTCCCTCTCCCCACCTCGTCACTTTTTCCTGTCACCCCTTTCAAGCCAACCCATTTTAACATCTGACTGCACTGGGGTGTCAAACTCATTTCTCTTCCTACTAGGATTTTTCATGTTACTTTCTCTCATTTTCCAGAGTACTTTGAATGAACTTCGAAATGTACATAGTGAGGAGCGACCATATTCCTGTGATGAGAATGGTGAATCATTCAGTCAACAGTTTAATCTGCGGACACATCACCACATACACAGTGGGGAGCAGACATTTTGCTGCAACGTGTGTAATAAATCATTTAGTCATCAGAGTCATCTGAAGACACATCAGCGCATACATAGTGGGGAACGGCCATTTATCTGTAATGTGTGTAATAAGTCATTCCATGATCAGAGTAATATGAAGAGACATCAGCGCCTACATAGTGGGGAAAGGCCATTTAACTGTGATGTATGTAATAAGTCATTCCGTCAGCAGGATTATCTGAAGAAACACAAGCTCTTACATACTGGTGATCAACCATTTATCTGTGCCTTATGTAATAAGGCATTCTGTCAAAAGGGATCACTGAAGGTCCATCAGCGCATACATAGTGGTCAGCGGCAATTTCGCTGTGATATTTGTAATAAGTCATTTAATCATCAGCATCATCTAAAGAGGCATAATCGCATACATACTGGTGAACGGCCATTTATCTGTAATGTGTGTAATAAGTCATTCCGTCGGCAGAGTGATGTGAGGAAACACAAGGTCATACATACTGGGGAACGACCATTTTTCTGTGACTTATGTAATAAGTCATTCAGGTGTAAGGAGTTCCTGATGAGACATCAACACACACACAGTGGGGAAAGGCCATTTATCTGTAATGTGTGTAATAAGTCATTCTGTCATAAGAGTAATATGAAGAAACATCAGCGCATACATAGTGGGGAACGGCCATTTTTCTGTGAATTATGTAATAAGTCATTCCGTAGTCAGAGTAATATGAAGACTCATCAGCACATACATACTGGGGAACAACCATTGATCTGTAATGTGTGTAATAGGCCATTCCGTGATCAGAGTAATTTGAAGAAACATCAGCGCATACATAGTGGGGAACGCCCATTTAGCTGTGAATTATGTAATAAGTCATTCAGTCGTAAGGGATGCATGATGAACCATCAGCGTGTACATAGTGCTGAGCGGCCATTTACCTGTAATGTGTGTAATAAGTTATTCCATCATCAGAATACTATGAAGGCACATCAGTGCAA